AGTCCGATATGCGGAGCCATTATCCCCACCTTTTCACCGACTCAGGTACTTTTCTATGTCCGTTCGAGGACGAACGGTTGTTTTAGAGGCGGAGAATGTGATGACCCTAAAGGTCATCTCTTGTTTTAGAAGTCAAAATTGTGTTCTAAGGTCTTAAAAACCTCTTCTTGTTTTACCTCAATTTGCGTGCAAAGTCCGAACGCGTTTCCGGAAAGCTTTTATGTGAAATTTAAGAAATGTAATGAATTTGACCCTTAAAATTGATTAAAGATGACTTTGGTCAATATTCTTGGTAAACGGACCCGGACTCGTGATATGACGGTCTTGTAGAGTCCGTAGTAAAATATGGACTTGGGTGTATGCCCGGAATCGAATTTCGAGGTCCCAAGCCCGAGAAAACAATTTTTAAAGAAAATTGTTTGTTGGGAAATATAAAGGTTTTAGAAGTGAAATGATGCATTTTCCTGATGGTATCGGGCCCGTATCTTGGTTTCGGAGCCCGGTACAAGTTTAAAATAATAATTAAGTTGAATCTGTAAAAATTTGGTAAGAATCGGAATTGGTTTGGTACAAATCGAACCTATAGTTGAGAAAATGGAAATTTCAATGTTCTTGGGTAATTTCATGAATTTGAGGTTAGATTCGTAGTTGTTAATGTTATTTTGATGATTTGATCGCACGAGCAAGTCCATATGATATTTTTAGACTTGCGTGCATGTTTGGTTTGGAGCCCCGAGGGCTCGGATGAATTTTGGATAGGTCACGGACTGAATTTAGACTTAGAAAAATAGTTGTTGCTGGTTAAGTGATGTTGCAGGCTCTGATCTTGCAATTGCGAGGTCAGGCTTCGCAATTGCGAGCCCAACAGGCTTGGCAATTGCGAGGGGCTGATTGCAATTGCGAAAAATGCCCTGGCCAGCCTTGCTCGCATTTGCGAACATTTCTTCGCAAATGCGAAGTTCTCAGAAATTCCCAGCAGTCGCAAATGCGACAATTCCTTCGCAAATGCGAAGGTAGCAGAAATTCTCAGGTTCGCAATTACGAACTCCTGGTCGTAATTGTGACATCTGCACCTGATAAGTGGGCTTTTTGACGGGATTTCATCCATTTTTCAAACTCTTTCAAATCCTAAACTCTCTTGGGTGATTTTCCAAAGAAAGATTCTTCTCCAAATCATTTGTAAGTAATTTCTAACTTATTTTCTTCATTCTATAACATCTTTTTACATTATTTCATTTCAAAATCAAGGTTTTTCATGGGAAATTGGGTATCATTGGGTAGAAGTTAGGTTTTTTCAAATTTTGGGGATTTGGACCTCGATTTGAGGCCCGATTTCAAAACTAATTACATATTTGAGTTCGTGAGTGAATGAATGATCGGGTTTTGGTTTGAACTTTGAGTTTTGACCAAGCGAGCCGGGGTCGATTTTTGACTTTTTGGGGAAAACATTTGAGAATTCATATTCACGCATTAGCATTAGTTTATTTAACATTTATTGATGTTATTGAATTAATTATGGCTAGGTACGAGTGAATTGGTGGTGGAATCAAGAGGTAAAGTGGTAGTTGAGTATTGAATTACCCGTGGCTTGAGGTAAGTGTTTGGTCTAACTTTAACTTGAAGGAATAGGAATCCTCGACTTATTTGCTACGTGAAATTTCATGTGCGTGGCGTATAGGTGTGGTGACGAGTACTTATGTGCTACCAAAATTACCATGTTTAGTTGTTTTCCTTTCCCATTTCCTATTACATCATTCCTTGTCTTAATTGCTACCTGTTTAACTGTTCTATGCTTTAATTGTTATTTGCCATAAATGTCTTCATGCCTAATTGCTTTATAATAACTATTACCCTCGTACTTGGAGTGTCTAATTGTTTCATGGTTCCATCTAGTTATATTGTTAGCTTGGGTTGAGTTGTTGGTGCCTTGTGCACTTTGGTTGGACCTATTGTTTAGCCTTCATAGGTGAAGTTCGTAATCATAGTGATAACCCATTTATACGAGAAGTGTAGAAATGTGAAAATTGAGTTAACTTGTGAAATTCTTAGTGTTTTCTCTTTGTGATTGGTGTTGATATATTTATAGGTTGGGATCGGGTTGCACGCCGCAATAGGAGGAATAACGGAGGAAAGTGATTGTCTGGTGGGATCGGGTTGCACGCCGCAATAAGGAGTAATAAGGTAGGACATGTGGGATCGGGTTGCGCGCTGCAACAAGGAGGAATAAGGGAGAATGTTGATACTGTTGTTGTTGAATATTGATATTGTTATTGTTGGATTTTTGTCATTGATGTTGTTTATATAGTGAGATCGGGATGCATGCCGCATCAGTTATATTTCTGGGCATGTGTGTCTGTTGAAAGTCTATTACTGAGATATTGAAAAATTCCTAAGGATTGGTTATAGCTGAAAAGTAGTAGTAGTAGTATAGTCAGATTCCGGATTTATTTAATGCCAGTTATTATTTATGTACACTCTGTATTTCCTTTCCATTTGGTATAAACTGTTGCAGGTTGTTTATGTTGTATGCCCCGTCGTAGCCTTGTCACTACTTCGTCGAGGTTAGGCTCGGCACTTACCAGTACATGGGGTCGGTTGTACTGATACTGCACTCTGCACTTCCTGTGCAGATTTCGGAGCTAGTGGCTGATCAGAGTTCGAGGTTGCTACCTTCAGTTCAGGAGACCCAAGGTAGACCTGCAGACGTCCGCAGGCCCTGGCGTCCCCTTCTATCTTTACTGTATTATGTTTTTACTTTTCCTTCGAAACAGATGTATATTTTTCTTTCAGACCATTATTTGTAGTAATCATAGACAGTTCGTGAATTGTGACTCCAGTTTTGGGTAGATGTTATTTCGGATTTTGTTAATGTTCAAGTTAAGCTTTTAAATTGTTTTCTTCCTCATTTAATTCTGTTAATTCATCTTGCTAAGTCATTTTTATCTGAAAGATAAAGGAATATGCAGTAATAAACTATGACGTTGGCTTGCCTAGCGAGTTCAATGTTAGGCGCCATCACAGCCCCGAAAGTGGGAAATTCGGGCCGTGACATTAATCTTGATTTAAGGGAATTAGGTTGTAAATGTTTTACTTGCTATGTGCTAAATATGTTACGGACTGTGTATATGCATGGTGACGAATGTATATGTATTTGTCGTGGGTTAAAGCATGCAGGTAGAAGTAGTTTATCATGTCCTTGTTTAATTTTTGTGTTATTCTCTTACGCTGTGTTGGAATGTGAGACTCCTTGATTATTTACATGTTATTGGCCGTGTTTGAGTCTGTTGGAATATATGAGCTATTGGCTCTTGAAATATTGAATTGTCTATCATCTTTGTCATTTCCTTGGTATATTATGCTTAATCGTTTTGGGATCACAATTGAACTTATACCCTCTTTGCACAAAACTTTGCAAGCCTACCCACTTTATGATCAACTTCAGACTTATCCGGTCTGAAGTTCTAAAAAAAATAGTCTGAAGTACAATGCACTTAAGGCCAATTAAGTCTAAGGTGCAAAAATTGACTTAAGATGCACTAAAGGCCAAATAGATCTGAAATGCGACCAATATTTTCATGCACTTAAAGGCCAAATACGCCTGAAGTGAAAAAATTGCACTTCAGATGCATTTAAGGCCAAATAGGTTTGAAGTGCAACCAATGTTTTCATGCACTTAGGTCATGTAGGTCTGAAATGCAAATTGCCCAAAAATAGAAATTTGTTCATCGAATTTCAGTAATCTAATACACAATTTAACACCTAAATCTACTCCAAAAGAGCTCAAATTTGAAACATAACCTCCAAATATCATCAAAAACAAACTTCAATCATCAATTTGTCAAAACAACAATAAATCTAACCAACCCATTTTGCAATTAAGAAGAAACCCTAAGCAGTAGTAAAATATAAAGCGCCACAACAGCTCGCCACTGTAAAACACCATAAACTACCTTAAAATATGCTCACAAATACCATATGAATTCACCGTGAGGAGCCATCTAAACTTTGGGTACTAGTTTTAAAAAGTAAGTTAAATGAGGACGACCAAATAGGGCACTCCGTACGATTTTTACGACTATCCCTGCAATTAGCCCATGTCCAATTTGTCATTTCTCGAGTAATAGTAAAAACAAAAGTCACAACCTCAGTAATCTATTGTACTGATCTATATCTGCAATCTATTGTACTAATTTATATCTGCGCGCTGCTGTTGACGAGACCATGCTTCTACACTTCTGAGATCCGTTTAAGGGAATTCAACAAGAAAATGGATGTTGTCTTACGATCAAATACATGAGTTTTTTTAAAATGACAAAAGTAATGGCACTTTTATATAAAAGAAAAGCCAAATCTGCAGTCGTCAAGATTTAATTGAATGGATTTTTTAATTTGTGTTCTTCAAGCTTTCCCTGTCCTTTAGTGAAAAATGTTCTCAAGTTTCAGCACAATCAAACTTTTCAATTCAAATGAAAAAATTCAGTAATTTTCTCAATCAGCTCTATTAATATGCACAGAAAATGGATGCACAAAGTTAAATAGTATATGTTTTTGTATCAATGTGCGACAACAACAACAAACCCATTGTAATTCCACAAAGTGGGGCCTAGGAAGAGTAATGTGTACACAGACCTTCTCCCTACCTTTGAAGGTAGAAAAGCTGTTTCTGATAGACCCCTAGCAATGTGTGAAAAATGAACCAATAAAAGGGGGTAAAAGTGTCATGACAGATGATATCAAACGATATAAATGTATGGCAACACGGTTCCGCAATGTTTGGTGTTATGAAACCAATTGTAAAGAGGAACTGCTAACAAATACCAACACAACTATACATTAACAGCAACACGAGAATAACAAATCTGAGCATTCATAGACAAAAGCTAACCACTTAACAATTAAGGTAGAAATTCCCTAAGATAACAATTAAAATAGAAATTCCCTACGATAACATTAAAGATATGACCTTTAAACGAGTATTCACTACCAGAAATAAACCAAGATAACAACCAAAGATATGACCTTTGAACGAGTATTCACAACCAGAAATACACCAAGATAACAGTTAAAGATATGACTTTGAACGAGCATTCACTATTAGAAACTAATTGTAATCTATTCTGCACAGTAGCACATTTCTATCTCCATTTGCTACATAAGATACAGTAAGTATAGATGCAAATGTAAAATCTGCAGAAGCTCTATTGCATCAGTGACATGAAGCCCCTGGATTTTCTCGAGTGGGGAACAAAACCCTCGAACAGTTTCTGAATATATTGCAAGTAGAAAAGACATAACAACTGATTCAAGTAAAGGGCGCAAAATAGGAAGAGGGCAAGAATCCCAATAAGAAATACTCTTTGAAGAGAGAGTTTAATCATCTCAAGCGTGCACAAATCTTGAATGGCATCTAATTTTAGGACTCAGCTTCTAGATAAAATTCTATTCCCTCTTACTGCTACCATAACAGCCGTTGTCAAAAGCCTCCCATTCTCATTGAAACACATGAATATACCAAGATCTTCAATTGAGCATCAAAATGGACGTATCAAGTTCCTGAAAACTAGAAAACCAACATGGGGGAGGGGGTGCGATATGTTTCCTCGGACAATCCACTGGAGACCCTTTCTTCATCTCAAACCATAGGGAGAAAGAAAAAGAAGAAACACTATTGTCTGTACAAGAGCTTAGACAGTTGCAGAAATGCCCAAAAAATAGAGATTCTTGGTGTGAAGTAACTTCATGAAGTAACTATCCAACATGTTCCTACACAAAATATACAAAACTCATGCATAAGAAAGGTTGAATAGAATTATACCAAGACCACTCGGGGCAAATATCTTGCAAATTTTCTGATCTGATATTTAAGGATCACTTCATGTAGGCCCGCTTGAGACTTCACATAGATTGGCTTGGGATCCACTAGAAATGCCTGTTGATGAAGACCATTGATCTGGCACCATCAGAAAGTATGTCGACATTGCTTTCCTGAATCTCGTTTTGTATTGCTTTGGAGAAATCACTGTTGGGGATGAATTCTTTGGTCCACCTAGAATGCCTGAAGCCTTTACCCACGTCTCAAGATGTTTGTCCCATGTATACTGTCTCATGAAATCAATAATACCAAGCACCAGTTCGTGCTTTTCCTCATCCACTCCGACCAGTAACGAGTAATCCATCACGTCTATTGACTGCAAAATGGTAACTGTATCAATATAGCAGACCAGGGACTGGAAAATGCTCTGCATTTAATAATTGTGTTTGAAGAGCACGAAGTCACACTTTGGAGACTTCAACATATACTTGATGCTGGCTGGCATCGACTAACGAAGAAACGCTTGGAGAACGTACTAAAATAAAGAGAACTACTGCAGCGACAAAGTCAAGTGCATCTTGCAAAAGAAGGGAGAAACAATAAGAAACAACGTAAAGATAAGGGGTATGGTGAAGAGAGAGAACAGGGAGGCGTCCCTGAAATCATCTTATTTGATCTTTACTGGAGCAGAAATGATAAACTAGTAACCCCAGACAGAACTAAGAAATACAGAACGATGTATAGAACACAATGCAACAAAGTAACTAGTCATAATAGGATTCTGTTTCAAAGCTTACAGCTAGAAATGAAGTATCATTCCACACAGCTCTCAGCAGCAGCCGCTTAGCCTTCGTTCCCACAAAAATCGGAGAAGTTGGCATCGTTTCAATTAAGTTCTGATCAAGCAAAACTTTGTTACTTCCACTTGAATCTGGATTATAGCGTGATCGAGAAGACCCTTTGAGGTCATACAGTTTAGTGATGTTGCGCTTAAAAAGAAGATTTTCCATAACAAGCACATCCATTCTTGATTCTTTCCCCCCTTTGAGATGCTTTGATGTAACCTAAAAATAATATTGAAAAACGAAGTGAGCATCATGGTAAAAAGTATAAGGGGGAAAAAATGAACACATATAACTACCAAAATGCTGTTAAAGATTGGAGAAGAAAATAAATTTCAGAGAATCTTTTAAGGGAAGAGCAAAGTACAGAAGTTAGATCTGTCCTGCTGAACCAATTTAAATGACCTTTATGGGAACCTTTTAATTTCTTTTACGGTACATCGAGGAGCACCTCTAAAGCACAGGACTGACTATGTTGGAGAACTTAGCTCTATCAAGAAATTAGGTCCACATAAAATTTAAAATGGGAGGCTTAACAAAGATAATTTTACAAATTTTTCAAAGATTTTGACAATAAATGTTTGCTTCAGGAAGGTCAAATGGAGATATAATAACCCACAGATACAACCTTAGTTACAAACCTGGACTGGTTCATCGAAATAAAAGTTGCTCCACAGCACACAGATATCAGAAAGCTGAAATACCGACTATAGCAGTGACTTTGGTTAAATAGAAATAATATACAAAAAATGATACCTGGTAGATCCCCAAAATCTTTGCCAAGCAAGTTGGGCTCCCACTAGCTATCGATTCAGATAAATACTTAAAGTAAGCTGGTGCAAACTTGATAAATGAATCCAACTCTGTCTTTGTTACCTGCTTGATGATAAATCGGTCGTCCAAGGTTTTGGCAAAGAAAACATTGCTCTTGCCACCCTGTGCACCCCATTTTTTACATCGGCTAAGGGACCGTATGAAGTCTAATTCATAGGGGCAACAAGACTTTCTTAAGGTCTCAAAATGCTTTGCATAATAACAGGTGACTGTGTACTTAACCTTTCCCAGAGGTCCATCATCTGAGAAAGATATTCGGGCATGCAAAGCATTAATATATGCAGGTGGATCCATGTTTGAGTTGCGAGAACTAAAACTCGATGACATGCTTTCATCTGTAAATCCAAAACTTCTTGAAGAGTTCGAAAAAACTTCATCCACAGACGAGTGTGAAAGTAAATTTAATGAATCTAGAAACGGCAGAGACGCTGAAGATTTGTGATCTTTCAGATTTTGAGGTTCATCTGACATTTGATTGTGGTAATCTGGTGAGACAAGTGCATATGAGATAATACTTGTTGGCTCATCATCATAAACTGGCACAACAATGTCACTAACACCAACAGCCATCAGCAGCCTGGCACCACCTTGATGTAGCAATTCGCTAAATGACGAGATATAAACAGGATTATGCTCGCCCAATTTACCAACAAATTGTGGATCTGATGTGATATTCTTGTTGAAGGAACGATAGAAATTTGAAAAATGTGCCGTTGCCCAGGTCAAGTAGTCTGCATTATCAGACTTTGCAGATAAATGAGGTGTTACAGCCCCGCTTTTGCCACACATAGACCTTTCGACGTCTGAGTTTGCTGCAACTCCAGTCAAAGCAGAAGAATCTACAAGGAAAGAATCTGGAAATGCACTGTTATGCTCCTTAATAGCCAGGTGGCCTTCACCAGTCCATGCAGCATCAAGAGTGTCAGATAAACTTTCCACAGAAGGGAACTTTCCATCTGAAAGTACACTTCTGACATTTTTTCCAGGTTCCAGTACATTTCCACCTCCTGTAGTTCTTATAGAACAAAAAACCTCAGCGTCTTTCCCACGAGATAAGTTCTCATCAATATTCAATCTTTCATGAACCCCATGAGGAATCTGACTGTCTCTTCCTTCATTAGATGTTATTTCAGTCTTCACATTCTGAAGAACTGAATCGCAGCTACCTAAGCTTTTGCCAGGTCTCGGAATTGTATTCCTTTCAGAAAGTTCCTCGCTAGAGCTGAAGCATTTCTCCTTCAGTTGTGGTGTCAAACTGCCCTGAGTTTGGGAATTTTTACCATGAGAACTGGAAAGATGTATCAAGCGTCTGTCCCATAGATAAGCATGAAAAACCAACTGCCTTCTGAGTCGATTTATCTCAAGGATGTCAACTGCAGGCTGACCAACTTTGACCTCCCCACTAAGTGCCCTGCATAACAATCCCTGGAACAATGTGCACACCAGTAAGAAACAAGTCAAAGTCATTTGAAGCAACGTTGCAGCATTATCCAAAAGAAAATGGAAAGTGTAAACAGAAGAAATAAAAGACCTGCCCTTTCTTTCAGAAGGGAAGGAAACTCGAGGTCTGATGCCTTAATGACAAATACCATCTGGCACGCTTTCAATTAGACGAAAGAGTTCTATTTCGAGTGATGGATCCCTTTACACTAAAGCTTCCAAATCAGTACATCTACTGAGCAAATTAACAGCAATGATTGAAATGCGGCCCTGAGGAACACTCCACCAGTTGAAGGAGTTCCTAATTGCCCTGGCAGAAGGGGTAAGGTCAAGGACCTAGCCCTAAGAGTTGTATGGTGTATGGTCTCAATGGCTCACGAGGAAGATATGCGAGGCAAAGCGTGAGGAAACCTATCAAAAGGGAGGGTTCTATATCACACATTTAAAATGGAAGGTTTTCTCCCAACTTCTGGGTTGACCACCTAGTCAAAGGATTAAGCATATGGATAATGGAGTTACCAAAGTCGACCTCTAAGTTGGTATGGAAAGCTCCTTTCAGAACTTACTAGGGACACATGTTCATCTTGGGATTGATGTCTCTCTTCAGTCAATACACCTTGTTTCCCTCTCTGTCTCAGATGGTCTTATGTATTCTTACAAGTCTTTCTTGTTTTTACCGTCTTGCTTAGGGATGGAAAGACACGTCATTTTCTTTTTTCCTCCTCTAATCGGTCTGGAAAAACTTTTTTCTAGTTGCTACACTAAGGCTTAGCTCCTCTCATATTCTTTTTCTACTGCTACTTCTTATTAGAGAACCTTGATTATTTCTGTCTTCTCCAACTCGTTGCTGCATTAATTTTCACATATCTTAGAGTGAGAGAACGCACCTGTGAATTTTAAACACATACTTCACCAAAATTCTCAGTCCTAAAAAATTAGAGGTTTGAGACATGTTATCCACACCCTACAGAGAGAAATTACTCGGGCTGTCAACTTTACAAACAGTTGAACATCAAAAAGGTAACCAATATCTATCTTTTAGATCAGCCATACTGACAAATTTGTTTATACCTCACCACCAATGCAGATGATACAACTTAGTATCTAAACAACAGGAGGGGAAAATAAAAGAATCACCTCAAACTCAGTTTTCTCCTTCTCTAATATTTCTTCCATCGCTACAATCTGCTCACTTATATTCGGTGCTTTCAGGCTACTATCAACAGAAACTTTTTCCAACTTTGCATGAAGAGCTTTGGACACCTCAGCAAACAAAGCATTCGCCCTGCTGTGCACCTTTTCTTGCAGAAAATAAGTACATCAGGAAAGAAAAAAAAGAGCAAAATATGGAGGTAACAAAATTGAGGCAAAAATTCAGTCCAACTGTACCTCATCACCTTCTTTCTGAATCCACTCGTGATTATCATGGCTAAATTCTAGCTTTGGAGGTGGGAGAAATACAGAATAAACACCAATAGGAGCATATCGAAAACAAGCTACCATTGTCCCAAACCTGAGGCAACAAAACCAAATATCAAGTGCAGAACAAACCATTGCTAGGGCAACAAGGAAAAAAGAAAAAAAAAACTTAGTGGTGCCATCACAGAAATAAATCCAAAAAAAAAAAAAAA